AACAGAATACAGTTACTTTATTTTGGTATCCTGATTACATAATGTCGTTACTTATAATCCGTTACTCCCCAACCCTGGTGATTAGTGTAGCAGTGTTTGATTTGAGACAACACTACCTTGTCAAAATGAACACACTAAGCAAGTAAGTACATAATGCACATAGTGTACTGCATGTTAGTATACTCCAGGAAGTACCCGAATTAAGACACAATACATGTTCCTTCTCATAGTTTGGGGGACAAACCGGGGACATACAGCCTATTTATGTTGAAAGGATGTAAAAAAGTGCATTTAGCATAAATGGGATCTTACATTCATGCTGGTTAGAGTCTCTGGTTGCGGTTTTGTTTATTTTTAGTAATCTGCACTGAACAGGGGTGTATGTCAGGTGTGTGTATCGGTTAGTCACAGCAAAACCTACAAGTCAAAGTTTCCGAAACCCACAGAAAAAGCTCACAACACATATTTACGTTTTAGTTTGGCTATTAGCTCTAGTGGCAGAACAAGTCAGGTAATGTAGTTTAAAGAGCAACAAAGGCTTGATAAGGGGTGGATGGATGAGTGAATCAAATTAAGAACCCTCACTCTGGAGACTGAAACTTAAGTCCTGTATGAGAGAAAGTTAAATAGCTTTTTGACTTCAGTCACGTGACTTATTACTTATTTTAAACCAAACAGATATTTTTCTAATCCTAACCAAGTGGTTCTGTAGCCTAAACTTAACCAAACCATGACCGTTTCACAACATTTACCACGTGTTAAACGTCACATGACTTAGGGTCAAATGACTTATTGAAAGTCCAGTACGCCTGTCGCTGGATTTGCCAACACTCTCAGATGTCATGATGGGGAACATATGGGGTCATATATGTCGCTTTCCTATGGATATATGTGTTTTGGGACACTTGAAAATCAACCTGTTTTGTTACTGTTTGTGTATAAGGATGTGTTACTTTGTAGCTGCCTAATTTAGCTTTAACAGGGAAATCTAATAAATGAATGTACTGAGGTGTGAGGGGCTCTGAGGACCAGTTACAGGCCAGCTGGACATCAGTGGTTGGACTGGTGTGAAGGTCTACCTCAGTGAAGAGCAGACGACCTCTGGCTCTGCTGGAAACTCTGAACACACAACAACCAACATGAAACCGTTGGAGACAAAGAAACTCCATCACCAGACAACAACTCTGCTTCATACCAATGACCACAAGCCTACCAGCCCCTCCCCCCTTACTCAGATGTCTCCTTCAACAGGCTTAAAGCCCCCCCTCCAGTGGATTTTGACATTCCCTTACAATATTAATTAGTCATTCCCTTACAATATTAATTACCCACATAGTTTGGCAAATATTTTTTGACAAATAGCTTAATTTTGTGCTCCAATTTGCAAAAATTGCTTACTTGTTAAAATGGGGCTGTGACTGTAGTAATTCCGTAAGTCATACATCATGTCTCGTTAAAAACTGTCACGCCGTCATGCCTCGTAAAGTCAGAGCATCAAACCACTAAAAGGTTGTGAGCTAGCTAACCAATTTATCGTGTAATTTAATTAGAACTTACAGTAGGTATGTCTCTGTGTGTCTGATGGTCGGCATGCATTTTACTGTAGGCCGTTTCACTGATGCATTGGCGGAGGAAATGGTATCAGAAGAATGAAGCTGAGGAGTGTGACATCCCCATCTTTCAGCTGCTGGGATGTCTGTCTCTTTGTGTCCTGTGTTGCAGATGTCAGGAGGCGTCGTTAAAGTCATCAGCTGTTGGAACCACCTGGGCCCGGTGGTCTCCACTATAAGAGCGCGTCTTTTGTTCTGCAATGGGGGCTAGAGAGGAGGGATACCCTGTTCCCTATGCTCCATGCTCCTTGTTATTTTGTTACTTTTACCATACAACACTTGACACACTATTCTTTCAAGCATGCATACCCGCTGACATGACTACTATGATCTACTGATTATCAAACCTCACATGACTTTTGGAATATTAAGTTGTCTCTGTTTAGTTTGAAATAAAAGTAATGGTACCTTTTCTGTAGTTTGTGTCATTGCTCTGTTCTTTTTTGTTGCGGTTTTGAGCCACCCGTGACAGGAGCGACGCAATTAGTGTTGCTGAAACAAAAAGTTGTGCACTGTGAAATGTTGTTACGGCCGCCACTGGCTGCCTTAGAGTAGTTGTGTTTTGGAGTTCTCTGAGCTTTATGCAAATCCCCGCTGCAAGCACCTGCTGAGGATTGGTTCCCCTGGACCTGGAACCACCCACTTCCTGGTTGCTGTTTGCTGGCGTCTGATTGGTGTGGCCGAAGAGCCTACCGAACCTGCCAACCAGGACTCACCAATCAACACCAGCTGGCCTACAAATAGTCTGTGTTCCTGCAGTTCGAGGCGACTGTGAGCCAGTGATCAGTTCGCCTTGTTGGTTGTGTACCCCTGTGAATGTCTTGAGTGTTAAATTTATCTGTTTCTGTCGGTTGCCGGCTTAAGTGACTCTTGTCAGTAAAAACCTTTGTGAACTACAGAATGTGAGTGGCACCCTTTAAGGGGGAAAATTGTTTGGTTGGTTACACTACATTCCTGTACAGCATGTAGGTACTGACCTCCTTTTGTTAAGTGTTTTTTTTGTAAGTACCTACATAGCCTCCTTTTGTTGTGTTTTTTTCGGAGACAACTCATTTAATTAAACTTTGACTCAACCTGAATTCAGTTGTCCTTACCACCTTAATTTAACCCAAATACCTTGTTACTGCCCTAACCTAACGAGCTGGGTTGTAACAAATGTTTAAAATGATTTATTCACACTAGCAAACTAACGTTAGTTGACGAAGTAAAAACGTTTATTAATTAACATGGCGTGTTCTCTGTATGTGAGTGCGTATTACATCCTGATAATTCAATAATTTCAATTCGTGAGGCAGCTTTGAATCCAGCCATGGGCTTCTGTGTGTGGAGTTTGCATGTTCTACCTGTGTTCATGTGTGTTTCAGTGTATAATGTGATATTTCTAAATGTGTACTGAGTTTTGTAGATGTGTAAGATAATTTGTGTTATAAGAGGAGCACTCATGGCTTTTGGCCAAGCAAGAGGCAAAGAAGTGACAAGAGCAGCTGCACAATCATAGGTCATAGCTACTCCGATGATGAAAACTTATATACTGTATCAACTTTTGTTAAAATGTTCAATAATAAACATTAGCACCACAAGTGTGGCTTCTCTGCTTGTTTGTTTCAACTAGCAGCTCATTAATATGCGGGTCCTGAGCACTGAAACTTAAGAAAAATTATACATACATATTATTAAACCCATCTCAGACTGAACATCAGCGGAGACAGAACAGTATAAGCTTTGAAAAGGTCGATCTTATGGTAGGGCTGGTGGTTGTTCTGTTTGGCTTATGTTATAATTACATTTACCATACACTTTACAAAAAGGAAGGACCTGAACCTATGGAGGCCAGCCATTATTAAACATCTGTACTCGACTGCAGCTTCTTCCACTCTAATGGAGATGTGATGGTGAACCACCTTCAGAACATCCATGAACACAGCACGCTGGAACCAGTGACGACATACCTAATACGGTTTGTGGTTAAAAATGATTAGTGGCCCAGTCTTCAGTGGTGCTGGTTGGTGCCTGGTTTAATTTGATTTGTGGGGGTAAATTTCCCAGATTGTGCAAAGAAGAATTTTATAAATGGAAATGCATCAACATTTGTACTGAAGTAAATCACAGCTAAATCCGTAAAGATTCTGTTTTGAAACAGCCATTTTAGAGATTAAGAGTAAAAACACATGAACAAGACATTTTACAAATTACAAAAAATATTACTAGCTTCATGAAGATATCATTTATTCCAGGGCTGTTTTACTGGACTGCAAAAGTTTTAGCTCGGTGTATCTTATCAACAGAAACTAGCATTTAATGTATATGGATATTCTTACGCAAACAAAAGCTAATGCCACTTTTTAGTCACAAGGTATCAGCGTTGGCTCACAATACAAGAATATTTGTCTTTACTTCTGGGTTTTTTCACATATGTTCTTGTGAACTTCATGATCTGCCTTTTCCACAGGTTTCTCTCGGTGGTTCTGCATTTCAACCACGATGGAAGCTGAGAGGTTGCTGTGATGGTGTGTTATATTTTATAAACATGTTTTTCCTTTCCCCAGCATACACATCAACCCTCATGGAGTCAACTGCACCTGCCCCGCTTAGCAGATCGGCCTAAAGATCCTCATGGATGGATGAGGCAGTCAGCCTTTATCGGTTAACAGTTTAGTACAGGACGTAAACCTAAATGCTAAAGGCATATGATGAATAAAATGAAATATTCTTAAGTTATTGATCTTTCCTCCACTCATGTTTTTTTAAGATAAATGTCATGGTCCGCATTGGCACCCATTCATATTTTTATCTCCACTGGAATAAAATAGAGGCTCTGCTCTTTTTTTTTTTTTTTTTTTACCCGTTGCCATAGTAAATAGTAGTATTGGAACTTCATTTTTGACGGGGTTTTTTCATCCCCTTGCATGTGCTTCCATCAGGTCCAACATACTCTAAGTCGACTGAACTTATTCTGATTGGCTGTTCTGGAACCGAAAACTGGAGTTTCCCATCTCAGGCTCAGTCAACTCAGGTCTCAGGGTAAAGCTCAGAGTGTATTAAGCCATTATCCATCACCATCTACAGTGACCTCATGAGAAGAGGAGCATTTACAGTGTAATTAAAGCCTAAAAATGCTGCTTGTGGTATGTTTGAACAACAAGCAGCATTTTCTCTGTGAATCTGCCCATCTTTAACTTCTGACTGCTGGACTCGCAGCTCAAACCCACAGAACTTTCTAGTTGTGGTAGAGTTTCCAAATATTACAGGATGTAAATGTTTTTTTATATTGAAGGACTAGTGGAACCACAAAGAACAGAGTACACTGTAAGACATTGGAGTTTTCAAAATTTCTGAACTTGACAGGAAATTTTAGGGGGTCAACAAAGAAATACAATTAAAATCCCCGGCTGTAATTTGTTGACCCACCTAGGTTTGAGTTATTGCTTTTTATTTATTATTATAATCATTGAAATGGTACTGTGTTTACACAGTTCACATATGTTGAGAAAACTGTTAACAGCATCAACCAACAAACACAAACCAAAGACTTAACTCAATATACTACAAAAAGGTAATTAGGACAGGATCAGACAGCGCTGCTGGATCAGGTCATTATAATCAAGAAAGAGCTTATTATGTGGCTTCACTTCCTCTCTCTGCTCTCAGGGATTTCAGCTCCTGCTGGGTGATCGACTGATCTCCTGATGAGGATGTTGTGTTCTCGCTATCATCCGCTATCATCCCCGAACACTAGGGCGATGACGACACACACTTGCATCGCCTTTCGCACCTTGTCTGCTTTTCCCATCGTGCACTGCTTCAGGAAGCTGGAGATACGGATGGGGCAAAACAGCAGCATGGCCATTGGGATGATGAACTTAAGCACCGTCAGGATCAGGTTGAACTGGTAGTAAACTACCTGGAATGAGGGGACAGGATGATGAGTAATTTTACAGAATTTAGAGCAAAAATATGTCAAAGACCTACTGTCAGTGGTGCTTCGTTTATAGCTTCTGTACCACCAACCTTTGCCAGACAATGGATATTCTCTTTCATGGATATTTAAATAAGCTTTTTAACTACTACATCAACTAATGTACTGGATTTAATTTGATCACTTTGTAATTGTTACACTGTGAAAAAGAAATATTTTAGTCTCTTAAGATCTTTATTTAGTCACACTTTAAGAGGTGACATGCACTGAGATATGCTGTGCATTAACACACCTGCACTAAACTTTCACCCATTAAACAGAATTAGTTCGTGAATGTTGTCTGTAAAGGTTCTCAGTCATCCAGTTCATAGTTATCCAACAACGGTTGAGGTCAAGGGAGAAACATCTTCTAATTTTTCTTCACCAAGTCCAGATGCCCTTGACCCTCAACCTTTGTTGGATGGTTAGTGAATGTTCATTGTTGGACCTTGGAATTAATGATTTGATGAAAAACTCACGTTTTTTGTTTTTTTTTTTAAAAAGCTGTTCTGTTCCAAATGTGTTCATTTTTAGTTACTTTAATTTGAATGTTATTCTTCACTATTATAGAAAAGTGGATATTGTTACAATATTTTCTTTTTACACTGGATTAGGTTTGGCCAAGTTTCCATTCGTAACTGGACATTTCAACTGTTGAGTTTTAGCTAACTATTTCAGCTGTTTTTCCAGTACTTTCAGGTTACTATTTCAGCCGTTTCCCCTGTACTTTTAGGTTACAATTTCCACTTCTCTGCTTTTTTGCTGACTCGATTTACACACTCAATGGCAACAACTGACAATCAGGTACAGTTGACTCAGGAGAGAGGTGTATATTGTGCAGTCAGCTCTTTGTAGCTTGTAATTTACTGGTGTTTGTCACAAAGTTACTAAAATTTGCATCACACCATTTTTTAATCAAATAGAAAACTATAACTCAAAACTACTAAAAAGCCAATCAATATATTGTGTATAAAGTTTTGGTATGAAATTGTAATATGGAGGGTCTGTGTGTGAACATGGTCAAAGTGAACAAAACATAATACAAAGTGTACTAATTTTCTCACCTTGAAGTAGTGGTAAATTGCCACCACAGTCATGAGTGCGATGCTGGCCGAGCAGTTGGAAAACATTACGAGGATCCGGCACATGCCATCTCCAAACACCCAGTGGCCCCTGAGCAAGGCATCGATCCTCAGTGGCAGACTCACCAGAGCCAGGAAGTCAGCAATGACCAGGTTGAAGAGGAACAAGTTGTTGGGATTCCAGGCCTTCAGTTTAAAGCAGAAGATCCACAGGGCAACTATGTTAAATTCTAAATTTAAATTTTTTTTATAACCAAAATAAATTAATCAAATTTTGGGAAGACACTAAATATGAGATTATTTTAAGATGCTGCTATTAAAAGTTGTGGGTTTGGTGGGTGAATAAGTATGAAAATCTGTATGCCCACACCAAGGAATGTTTTGAGATTTAGGAAATCCTCCTTTCACCTTCTTCCTTTTTTCTGAAGAATGAAATCTGTGTAAAAACACAAAACAGAGCAGTTTCACTCCAAAGGTCAGATAATAAAGCATTCTGTGCAAAACACGTGGCGAGAACTTGATTCAGGCTGCGGACAGTTCACACTGGAGTCTGATATGGGCCACATTTAAGCAATTATATGAACTGTCAAAAAAGAGGGGAACTGGGAAAAAATTGGAATTGAGCATTAAGGCCTGCAGTCTGAACGTAGCCTTACATTAGCTGCTAACTTTAGCAATAATAAACACTAACATTAAGAAACGGTGTCACACCATCCAATGAAGCTCTCAATTAGGTCTCTGTACTCCTCCTCGCTGTCATTAGTGATACAGCAGACGAAGGAATCATCTGAAAACTTCTGGAGGTGGCTCATTTCAGAGTTGAAGCAAAAGTCATAAGTGTAGACTGAAGAGAAACGGTAACATTTCAGTTCCTTGGGATGTGCCAGTGTTGCTCACCACAAAGCCTGACAGGCAGCCATGCATCCATGCATCCTGACATACTGCGGCCTGTAATCCAGGCCACCAGGTCCTGATCCACCTGCATCACAGAGCTTCTCAGCCAGCCAGAGAGGCTGGACGGTGACAAAAGCACTGGATAAGTAGAAGAACATGATCCTCACATTGATGTGTGGCTTCTCCAGGTGAGTGTCGGGCACTGTAAAGTAGGGAGATGATGGCATCGTCCACCCTGCAGAGGGTCCAGGCAGTTGCGTACCAGGGGCCTGAGGTGCTGCAGAACCAGTCTCTCGAAAATCTCGATTAAAGGTGATGTTAGTGCCACAGGCCTGAAGTTTGAGAGGTGGCTGGAACATCCCTTTTTGGGGACAGGGTCTCATCTAGCTGGTTATGATGACTGTGGTGGACGGGAGGGGGGAGTGGAGGTGAGAGGGGGGCGGCAGAAGGGGTGTGGAGGGAAGAGACAGTGTGAGGAAGGGGGTCCAGCCTCCTGCTGGCCTGTTCATGCCTGTGATACTGTCCTCACAGAACCTGATGTGGTTAGTGTTAATTTTCCAGCAAATATGTAAAAAAAAAAATAAAGAAAATACACCATTTGGCTAACATGTAAAATATGAGTACCATTAGCTGTTGTATTTAGCCATTAAAAAGACTGGCACTGTGCTAGGATGTAAAATATCAGGAACATTAGCTGCTTACTTTACGCATAAGAAAGGCTAACATTCAGCTAAAATGTAAAAAAATCACAAACATTAGCTGCTAACTTTAGTGATCATAAAGACCAACATTCATCTAACAAGTAAAATATCAGTAACATTAGCAGGTAACTTCAGCAATCGCAGACTAGCATTGTGTTAAATAAAACATGAGTAACATTAGCTGCTAACATTAATCATGAAAAAGGCTGAGATTAGGCTAACATTTAAAATATCACAAATATTAGCTGCTAAATTTAGCAATCAAAGACTAGCATGGTGCTAACATATAAAATATCAGTAATATTAGCCGCTATGTTTAGTAATCAAAAAGACTGGCATCGTGCCAAGTTGTCAAATATAAGTAACATCAGCTGCTAACACTAGTTATAAAAAAGGCTTACATTAGGCTAGTATGTCAAATATCAGCAACATTAGCTGTTAACTTCAGTCATAAGAAAGGCTAACATTCAGCTAAAATGTCAAAAAAAAAAATCACAAACATTAGCTTCTAACTTTAGCGATCATAAATACTAGCATTGTACCAACATGTAAAATATCAGTAACATTAGCAATTACCATTGGCAAGTAACTTCAGCGATCACATAGACTAGCATTGTGCCAACAAATAAAATATGAGTTACATTAGCTGCTACGTTTGGTAATCATAAAGACTGGCATTGTGCCAACATAAAATATCAGTAACATTAGCTGCTAAGTTTAGTAATCAAAAAAGACTAGTATTGTGCCAAGATGTCAAATATCAGCAACATTAGCTGCTATGTTTAGTAATCCAGAAGACTAGCATTGTGCTAACATAAAATATCAGTAACATTAGCTGCTAAGTTTAGTAATCAAAAAAGACTAGTATTGTGCCAAGATGTCAAATATCAGCAACATTAGCTGCTATGTTTAGTAATCCAGAAGACTAGCATTGTGCTAACATAAAATATCAGTAACATTAGCTGCTAACTTCAGTCATGAGAAAGGCTAACATTTAGCTAAAACGTAAAAAATCACAAACATTAGCTTCTAAATTTAGCGAACATAAATACTTGCATTGTGCTAACATGTAAAATATCAGTAACATTAGCTGCTAACTTTAGCGATCATAAATACTAGCATTGTGGTAACATGTAAAATATTAGCGACATTAGCGACTAAATTTAGTCATGAAAAAGGCTGACATTAATAAATAAGATATCAGTAACATTAGCTGCTAACTTTAATCATCCTAAAGACCAATGCATCATTCACGTGCTCCTGGGATCCCATTTCCCGAGTTGTGAATTTCGTTCTTCCGAAGTTGGTGTCTTCATGTGCTTTTAAGTCTGAATTTGGAAACAACATGTATGGTAATGAAAAGATATGGTGGATTGTCATTATCATCTGAAAGAGTCTGAGAGACTAGCATTGTACTAACATAAAATATCAGGAACATTAGCTGCTAACTTCAATCATAAAAAAGGCTAAAATGTAAAAAAAGATCACAAACATTAGCTTCTTAATTTAGCGATCATAAATACTAGCATTGTGCCAACATGTAAAATATCAGTAACATTTGCAATTACCATTGGCAAATAACTTCAGCGATCACGTAGACTAGCATTGTGCCAACAAATAAAATGAGTTTCATTAGCTACTACGTTTAGTAATCAAAAAGACTGACATTGTGCCAAGATGTCAAATATCCGTAACATTAGCTGCTGAATTTACTGACCATAAAGACTAGCATTGTGCAACAAATAAAATGAGCAAAATTAGCAGCTAACTTTTGTCTTTAAGACTAATGCAGTATTCACGTGCCCCTGGGATGGTCCCATTTCCCGAGTTGTGAGTTCATTCTTCCGACGTTGGTGTCTTCATGTGCTTCTAAGTCTGAATGTGGAAACAACATGGATGTTACTGCAAAGATGGGGTGGACTGTCATTGTCATCTGCAACCGTTTGAAGCTTTCTCTTTCAATGTGATTGTTGTCCGAGAGCTGTTACTGCACCAGTATATTACCTGAAAACCACTAGTTATACAGACTAGTGTTTAGCTAACATGTTAAATATCATTAACATTAGCTGCTACGTTTAGCAATCCAGCAGACTAGCATTGTGCTAACATAAAATATCAGTAACATTAGCTGCTACGTTTAGTAATCAAAAAGACTGGCATTGTGCCAAGATGTCAAATATCAGTAACATTAGCTGCTGAATTTACTGACCATAAAGACTAGCATTGTGCTAAAGAATAAAATGAGCAACATTAGCTGCTAACTTTAATAAGACTAATTGTTAATTATAGCCATAATGACGCCCAACATTAAGCCAACATGCAAAATAGCACTAACATTAGCTGCTAATTTTGTCATAGAGACTAATGCAGTATTCACGTGCTCCTGGGATGGTCCCATTTCCCGAGTTGTGAGTTCATTCTTTTCATTCAACGTTGGTGTCTTCACGTACTTTTAAGTCTGAATGTGAAAACAACATGGATGTTACTGCAAAGATGGAGTGGACTGTCATTGTCATCTGCAACCGTTTGAAGCTTTCTCTTTCTAAGTGATTTTGGTCCCAGAGTTTTTACTGCACCAGTATATTACCTGAAAACCACTAGTTATAAAGACTAGTGTTTAGCTAAAATGTAAAATATCACAAACATTAGCTTCTAACTTTAGCGATCAAAGACTAGCATTGTACTAACATAAAATATCAGTAACATTAGCTGCTAACTTTAGCAATGATAAAGACTGGCATTGTGCCAAGATGTCAAATTTCAGTAACATTAGCAATTACCATTGGCAAGTAACTTCAGCGATCACGTAGACTAGCATTGTGCCAAAAAATAAAATATGAGTTTCATTAGCTACTACGTTTAGTAATCAAAAAGACTGACATTGTGCCAAGATGTCAAATATCAGTAACATTAGCTGCTGAATTTACTGACCATAAAGACTAGCATTGTGCTAACAAATAAAATGAGCCCCTGGGATGGTCCCATTTCCCGAGTTGTGAATTCATTCTTCTGACGTTGGTGTCTTCATGTGCTTCTAAGTCTGAATGTGGAAACAACATGTATGGTAATGCAAAGATATGGTGGACTGTCATTGTCATCTGCAACCGTTTGAAGCTCTCTCTTTCAACGTGATTGTTGTCCCAGAGCCGTTACTGCACCAGTATATTACCTGAAAACCACTAGTTATACAGACTAGTGTTTAGCTAACATGTAAATATCAGTAACATTAGCAGGTATTTTTAACAATCACACATAGACTAGCATTGTGTTAACAAATAAAATGAGTAACATTAGCTGCTAACCTTAATCATGAAAATGGATGAGATTAGGCTAACATTTAAAATATCAAATATTAGCTGCTAAATTTAGCAATCAAAGACATGCATTGTGCCAACATGTAAAACATCAGTAACATTAGCTGCTAACTTTACTGACCATAAAGAATAGCATGGTGCTAACATATAAAATATCAGTAATATTAGCTGCTATGTTTAGTAATCAAAAAGACTGGCATTGTGCCAAGATGTCAAATATAAGTAACATTAGCTGCTAACTTTAGTCATAAAAAAGGCTTACATTAGGATAACATGTAAAATATCAGTAACATTAGCTGCTATGTTTAGTAATCGAGAAGACTAGCATTGTGCCAACATAAAATATCAGGAACATTAGCTGCTAATTTTAGTCGTAAAAAAGACTGACATTCAGCTAAAACGTAAAAAATCACAAACATTAGCTTCTAACTTTAGCGATCATAAATACTAGCATTGTGCTAACATGTAAAATATCAGTAACATTAGCAATTACCATTGGCAAATAACTTCAGCGATCACGTAGA